ATTGAAATAGAGAATCTATTCAAATGCGTCAAATGAGTTGCATGAGCGTCTTCGAATGTCGATTATTCGTGGAATCGATTCGAATATTTAATAGAGATAATTCGTCCTTTCAAAGGATTGCTTTCTCTTTCTCTCTCTCTTTTGAATCAGAACCCGAAAGTGAACCGAATCCTAACTGATATTTTGAAATATGAGTCGAATCAGAGGATCGTAATTCGATTTGGGTCCATGCAAATTCTGAGTATCGAAAATGCATCTTATACGCTTGAACAAGTACTCTTATTTCTCCCAAATGAACTACTAATTGAAAGATAATCAAAATTAGTGAATGTTAACGGACAAAATACTAAAGTACAACTTGCTTTAACTATTTTTATTGGCTCGAATTGAACCGAATCCGAATGAGAATAGTTCGGTTAGTTTTGGGCTCTGTTCCGAACAACGTTCTTTGCGTTTCATCTGAAAGCTTCTATCTCCGATCATTTCAAATAATGAACTCATCATCAATCGGCTTTCGAAAAAAAAAACTTCAAACAGGCTTTTGTCTTCGGCTCAATGAGAACAACGCTTGCTATACCAAACCTGATTATATTGGAAGGCTTTCTCACCGTCTTTGACGTTCATACATGAATCAACTGACAACAAACAAACATACAACGAGGAATGATTTTCATTAGTCGGACACTTGACTTTGACTCGCATTTGCTCTTGTTTGTTATTACTATCGATTGAAAGAGTTGAAAAAGCGAATGAGATAATTTTCACTTGTTCTCGGTTATTGAACCTGAAAGGATATAGCAACAACAGATACGATATGCAGCATACTTTCGTACATTTTTTTTTCAACATTTCAAACGAAACATTCTGAATGTCTTTGTGAGGACAAATATCACATCATCAAACACTTTAGCATCATTTGCAAATAATGCCTGCGAACTGATTGGATAACTAATTTAGTGTTGAGCATCACAATGGAACTCAGAAAACTGATGATAGAGAATTGATTGAAAAGAATCGTTTATCAAGCATTTCTAGATTATCTACGAGCCGCTATGGCTGAATGGTTAAGATGTTTGACACATATCCACAAGATACTGTGTTCGAACCTCGGCTCCATCAGTCATAGAATGACCTTGGACAAGTTACTAACGGCTGTTTTGTCTCGGACCACCCATCCGATAACAAACTGACTACGTTGTTGACATACACTAAATGGTCCTTGTGACTAGTATGTTGTTAGTTAGTATGTATGGGGAGCTTAAGAAATTAAGCGAGAAGAACTCTGAGTCAGGCCGGCCTTCTGTCCAGAGCTACATTTAGTAATAGATGTAGGAAAATATCGGGCTTCTCGAAACTGTCCTCGGACAGCACCCTATACCGCAAGGTAGCCGAAAGGCGGGGTATTCTTCTTCTTCTTCTTCTAGATTATCTACGAATAATAAGTTATCATGCATTGAAGATCATGTGAAATGATCAATGAACAATCATCAAAAAAAATACAGAACGTTGGTTCAAATAATGAGAAATAATGCTTGATCGACGAACGACTAATTCGATGATTAGAGACAAGAATCATTTGCCAAAATAAGAAATCTTCTTCATCGATCATCCGAATGAGAGCGATCGAAAAGACAAAAAACGAATAAAGAATCGAGATTTTGGTTGTAATCCGAAGAGTTCCATCATTGATTATCGATGATCGAAGTTGAGACAACGAATAAATAACTCTGACTTGAATTGAAGTATTCACTTCGATCAAACAGACCCTCGTCAACAATTGCTCATGAAGAAACAACATCTCTCGATCAATTCCTATTCGGAGAATGTTTCTCCCTTACTCTGAATTACATCCATTCTTTGACTGACAAATTCAATGTTCAATTCTGTTTGCCCATTGACTCTTCATTACAAGGTTCTTGTGTTTATCAAAACGACAATCTATTTCTATGAATCTATTTCGATAAGTAGCAGCGCTATTTAAAAATTGGGTATGATTGAAGAGAAAGCCATAAAGCGCGCTCATCACTCACACCTACTCAGCTTATATAAAAAATAACATACTACACATCACAGCGATAAACTGAAGATCGAGAGATCAATGCACTGTACATTCACTTCTCTTTTTTTTATACTTAGAGAATCCTGCAGCGATCCTGGTAAGAAATCGAATAAAATATTTAAGGGACCGTGATGGAGACCGACAAGATATAGTCAAAAAATATTTTTGCGAATTAGAAATCATCGAAACTCTGACAGGGTCTTATAAAGCTGTTGAAACATGGTTTTCTCGGAGTTTAGCAACTTATTGGACGATTTTCGATGGAAAAATAATAATGATTTGCTCATGATCTTAATTGAATGTCGATTCAGATCTTATCAGCATCTTAAAACTCTGTAGCTACAAGTATTTTTTCAGACTTTCTCTTCTCCTAAGCAAGATATGGTTCACTTGTGAAGGATCCTTGTCGTATATGTCAGAGATCTAGTTCAAGAAGATCCGAGAATTTTCCTAGCAAAGATTCAACATGATCTAAGACAATCTGTTGAAGTTCATAATAATTCAGCAGAAACCACTAAACTTGAAAATAATCTGAAATCAATATGGAAAACCTGAATCTTACTGTGTCCTATTTGATTGTAAGAATCCGAGAATTCGTCAAGACATGAAAAATTCTACGGTACATTCTCTTTCTTGTCAATTTAGTTTTCAAGAAATCTAATGCATCCGTATAGATTCCACTAGATCCCAAGCTATATTAAGATTAGAATCCTTTTTTTCGTTTCGTAAAATAGATTAGTCGTTCTTGTATAGATAACACATGATGATCACATTGATCCACTCAGAACATATTTTGTATTATATATGCTTATTGTAGGAGTCGCATTCATTACCTTGGTCGTTGTAAATATTTAGAACATTGATCTATATTGATGAACCGTAATGGATTCTGATAGATTTTAGAATTCACTTTCTTTCTTAGAGTTAATCCATGTCGATCTCATTTCAATTATCTTATTGTAAAATGTATTAATTAAATAAAGTATTTTAATTTTTGTCATTAAAAGTTTCATAAAGAAATTTTCAGTCCATTTATAATTGAAAATAGTATTATTAAGTTGTTTGAACCAAAAATAGTTTCTTTTTCTTCGAAAAGCAAAAGTCTACATCACTTACTAAGCTATTCAATATCATGTTTAATTATCGCTTGAAAAACTTTATCAACAATTACTAAGTTCTTTATCAATCTATGTAGTCTTGTATTCTATTATTTTTATTTATTAATCCAATGTAAAAGTTTTCTAGATTGCTAAAACATATTTTCTATATAATAAAATATATTTCTTTCGAAAACGTTCTGATGGCAACTTTTTTTATTTTGTATTCTATTACTGTTCATGTATCAATTAGTATTCTATCTCATATTAACCTGAAACAATATACATTAATGATTAGTATAAGCAGAATACATACTAAACAAACAACATAGTATTGCACTTTTTTCCATCATATTTCAATTTTATTGTGTTTATTTTTTTCACAAAAAACCTTTGTTAGAATGAAATCATAATTTTATGGAAAACTATAATCTACAAAACAATAGAAAGTTCTTAATTCAGATATGTTAAGTAGTGAAATTAAGTAAAAGAATTTTTTTGAAATTTTTATATAGCTATATTTTTCTTTAATCCAGATAAATTTCATTAATCGAGGTTCATTTTGAACCAATGCAAAATGAACTCACTTCATTTCACCTTATGGTTAAATCTTATTTTCAATGCAGCATTTATAGGCTCACTCAACAGTGAATTTCTATTAATTGTATATCAATGATTCATATGGATAAAAACATCTTCTATAAATGCATTAGAATAAGGAATTGAATATACATAAGAAACAAGGTTTGTTAGTTCATTAGAATTTGTTGTAGTTTTTCAAAATGAAAGATTTGAAAGTTGATCGAGTGCGACTATAATAAATTAATTTTCTAAATACTATGCATAGTTAAATATAATATCAAAATAAGTAAATGACAAGAAAAAACCTGAAAACCTCATCAAACTTTATTTTTATCGGAAAACAAAAAAAACCAATGAGATAAAATAAAATGAATTAAATATATGACAATAATCATTAGTCATTTTTATGGCAATATTGTTCACTATGAATGTCTGTAGAGGATGTTATAAGTTCTATTGAAAATCACAATTCATATTAATTGAAGACTTTTTAGTGACAGTAAAATTCTCAATGTGCTACAAAATGTGTTCCTTACGTTAAGAACTTTTTTCATAATAGTTTATCTTAATAATGCACTTAAAACTAAATGTCTGTCAAATATTATCATGGAATGTAGCCAAGAAAAATTAAAGGTTTTAATAGAATGCTTATAAATGTGGGTTTATATTGTGTTAATCAGCAGTCATACTTGTTAAGATCTTTCTGTGATTTGACTAAAACGCTTGGCTGGATTGTGGTGTGAGGATTCATATTAGATCCTGACTAAAATTTGATAAAACCTTAGCAGAATCCTAAATAGGATCGGGAGTGACTTCTAGCTGGATCTTTCAGAATTTCGCAAGAAATGAATACGATTGAGACTAGAGTGATATCGATACTAGAGTTAAAATAAAATAATAATTGACATTATTAGCTGAAAATAATTGTATAATAATCCCGTATTTCTGGCGAAAACAATATTATACACTACTCATTTTTCAATAGTTCGAATACGGAACAAAAAAAAACAACTGTCGACTAAAATTCAAGAAGGCGTTCATGCGCTGAGGACCTCTATGTCGACCAGAATCGATAGAATAAAGCAAACCAATAGAATATCAATGGTTCTTGCGCAATCATTGAATAAGAGATGTAATTGCGAAATATTAATGCATCATGATGTCATTTGTCATATTCCCAGTGTAGAAATGATGCTGTCGGTATATAAAGGTTGTTTTTGTGCACCATTCAGTCATTTATTATTTTATAATAAGAAAGAGAGATGGTTTATTTCAACTCTCAAATTAATGATTCAGTCGCACCATATAGAGATGTGCGTCGTATTCAATTCGGAATTTTATCTCCGGATGAAATTCGACGAATGTCAGTGACCTATCCATCGATTGAGTTTCCCGAATTGTTTCAAGAAGGGAAACCAAAACTACAAGGTTTACTGGATCCACGACAAGGTCCAGCTGATAGAAACTCAAAATGTAATACTTGTCGTGGTTCTTACATCGAATGTCCAGGACATTTCGGTCACATCGAATGTCAGTATTTTGATTTTTTTTTCTAGAGCTAAATGAATAGATAAATACCATTTCTCTCTCATAGTGGTCAAGCCTATCTATCATATTGCTTTTCTATCGAAAATATTGAAAGTTTTAAGATGTGTTTGTTTTCATTGTTCGAAACTGTTGGTTGATCCAAATGATCCGAAAATCATTGATATTATTAAAAAAACTAAAAATCAAAATCGTCGACGTCTTGCATACATAGTCGAAGCATGTAAAAAGCAAAAGATTTGCAAAGGTTTGAGCTCATTGAAAAATTCTATTCAAGAGAGGCTTTGTATTTTTCAAGGAAGTGACAATCAGAATGATGTAACAAAAAACTATACAGGTGGTTGTGGTCAAGTACAACCAATCTATCGTCGATCAGGTCTTGAATTGACAATTAAATGGAACGAAGCAGTAAATGAAAATCAAGAATTGAAATCGAAATTATCAGCCGAACGTGTTCTCGAGATTTTCAAAGCTATTCCTGATACGATTTGTAAAATACTTGGTATGGATCCTCGTCAATCACGACCTGATTGGATGATTCTTACTGTTTTACCAGTTCCACCTTTATGTGTACGTCCATCAGTATTAATGTTTGGTACAGCTCGTTGTCATGATGATTTAACGTACAATTTAGCTAATATTATTAAAGCAAATCGAACGTTACATGAATATGAAGAACGTGGTGTCACTTCCCATATCATTGATAAACAATTGGAACATCTTCAATATTGTTGTGCAACATTAATCGATAATGATATGCCTGGTATATCACAGGCATGTCAAAAGAGTGGTAAACCATTGAAATCTCTCAAAGCTCGTTTGAAAGGTGTGACATATATATATTTTCTTATTTTATGATTGATTCAATTGTTTTTGTTTTTGTTTTTCTTCTCAGGAAAAGAAGGTCGAATTCGTGGAAATCTAATGGGTAAACGAGTGGATTTTAGTGCTCGATCAGTAAGTAATAGTTAAAATTTGTTGTATAGCAAAAAGAAAAAAAAATATGAAATATTGATTAGGTAATTACACCTGATCCAAATTTAGCTATTGATCAAGTTGGCGTTCCACGAACGATTGCACAGAATTTGACTGTTCCAGATATTGTCACTCCATTCAATATAGGATGGTTACAAGAATTAATTCGATGTAATGCAGCAAAATATATCATTTTGGATAATGGTGATCGAATTGATCTTCGTTTCCATCAAAAACCATCAGATATTCAATTACAATATGGTAATATCGTTGAACGAAATATGGTGGATGATGATCTTGTTGTTTTCAATCGTCAACCAACATTACATAAAATGTCAATGATGGCTCATCGTGTTAAAATTCTTCCATGGTCAACATTTCGATTAAATTTATCTGTAACAACACCGTACAATGCTGATTTTGATGGTGATGAAATGAATCTTCATTTACCACAATCTATAGAAGCTAAAGCAGAATTATCTGAATTAATGATGGTTCCACGTCTTCTCATAACTCCACAATCAAATCGACCAGTTATGGGTATTGTACAAGATACATTAACAGCAGTTACAAAAATGACACGTCGTGATGTTTTTCTTGATAAGTGTGAATTTATGAATCTTTTAATGCAGCTTCCATCATGGAATGGTCATGTTCCACAAGCAGCCATTCTTAAACCGAAACCATTATGGACAGGAAAACAATTGTTTTCATTAATTCTTCCCAAAGAAATTAATTGTGTTCGAACCCATGCAACACATCCTGATAATGAAGATAATAGTTCTTTCAAATGGATTTCACCAGGCGATACAAAAGTCCTAGTAGAAAATGGTCAATTACTTTCTGGTATTTTATGTAAACGAACATTAGGTACAAGTCCTGGTTCACTAGGACATGTCATTTTCATGGAATGTGGACATGAAATAGCCGGAAAATTCTATTATTATATTCAATTAGTTGTTAACAATTGGTTATTGATTGAAGGACATTCTATTGGTAAGAATTTTGATAATAGCAAAAATACGAGAAAATATGAATCGATTTTTTTTAAGGTATTGGTGATACAATTGCCGATGAAAATACTTATAGAAATATTCAAGAATCTATTCAACAATCAAAACAAGAAGTACAAGAAGTGATTCAGCTGTCTCATCATGATCAATTAGTCAGTGAACGAAGCAATTCACTTCGACAAACATTTGAAAATATGGTCAATAGACATTTGAACGATGCACACAAACGAACAGGATCATCAGCTCAAAATTCTCTATCAAATTTTAATCAATTAAAAGCAATGGTTGTTAGTGGTGCAAAAGGTTCACTGATTAATATTTCACAGATCATAGCTTGTGTTGGTCAACAAAATGTTGAAGGTTTGTCAAACTTTATTGTTGATATAATTTTGTATTTTATTATTTGAATAGGAAAACGAATACCTTTCGGATTTAAACATCGTACATTGCCACATTTTATCAAAGATGATTATGGACCAGAAGCAAAAGGATTTGTTGAAAATTCATATTTAAAAGGTCTCAATCCAACGGAATTTTTCTTTCATGCCATGGCTGGTCGAGAAGGTCTTATTGATACAGCTGTTAAAACAGCTGAAACTGGATATATACAACGTCGTTTGATTAAAGTTTGATTTTTTTTTATTTTTTATTTTAATCTTTGTAACTATTTTGATAGGCAATGGAATCAGTTATGGTAAAATATGATGGTACAGTTCGTAATCAAAAAGAACAATTAATTCAATTTATTTATGGTGAAGATGGATTAGCAGCTGAAAATGTCGAATTTCAATCGATTATTTCATTAAAATCATCAAATATTACATTTGAAAATTTATGTAAATTTAATTTCGTAGATGATGAAAAATATTTACGACAATATTTAAACGATGATATTATTCATGATCTTTTCACAAATGAAAATTCATTACAAATATTAAATAATGAATGGTATCAATTATGTCAAGATCGAAATCATCTTCGAAAAATATTCTCGAATATTAATGAAAGTCAAATAGTATTACCGTGTAATATTGAACGATTAATTTTCAATGCTCGAAAAATATTTAATATATCTGATAGAACTCGTTCAAATCTATCTCCAATAGAAATCATTCAAGGTTTAGAAGAATTAATTAAACGTTTAATCATTATCAAAGGTAATGATCGTCTATCTCAAGAAGCTCAACATAATGCAATTATGTTAATGAGTATTCTTATTCGTTCATCACTTTGTTCACGACAAGTTCTTCAAGTTCATCATCTAACTGCAGATGCATTTAATTGGTTATGTGAAGAAATTGAAACACGTTTTCAACAAGCTCAAGTTCAACCAGGTGAAATGGTTGGTGTTCTTGCTGCACAATCTATTGGTGAACCAGCTACACAGATGACATTGAATACATTTCATTATGCTGGTGTATCAGCTAAAAATGTTACACTCGGTGTTCCTCGTCTCAAAGAAATTATTAATCTTTCTAAAACACCTAAAACACCATCCATGACTGTTTTTCTTACTGATCAAACAGCAAATGATATCAATAAATGTAAACAAGTTTTATCTCATATTGAATATTGTTCATTAGGAAAAATAACAGCTAATACAAGCATCTATTATGATCCTAATCCACGAGAAACAATAATTGAAGAAGATCAACAATGGATTGATATTTATTATGAAATGCCGGATGAGAATATTTCAAAAATTTCTCCATGGTTATTACGTATAGAACTCGATAAAAATAAAATCATTAATAAAACTTTGACAATGGAACAAATATATGAGAAAATTTCGAAGGAATTCGGTGAAGATCTTAATGTCATTTTTACTGATGATAATGCAGAAAAACATGTTCTACGTATTAGAATTTTGGATCAGCTCAAATCAAAAATTGCTAATGATGAAACACTCGAAGGAGATGATTCAAGTAAAATGGATGATGATGTTTTGCTACGATATATTGAAGAAATTGAGCTCCCCAATTTAACATTGAAAGGTTACATATGAGATTTTTTTTTTTTCTATTATATTTTTTTTTTATTAGGAATTAAATCGATTTCGAAAGTCTACATCGTTGATTCAACAACAAATACTCAATATAATTCAAAAAAACAATTTCTTATTAATGAAAACGGTACAATCCAACCAGTAGCTGAACATTTCTTGGTGACTGATGGAACATCATTGAGAGATATACTCTCAATGAAAGATGTTGATTATCGTCGAACATATACTAATGATATTATTGAAACTTTCAAAGTGTTTGGTATTGAAGGTGCACGTAAAGCCATTGAATATGAAATGAATCATGTTCTTTCATTTGATGGATCTTATGTTAACAGTCGTCATTTAGCTTTATTATGTGATATAATGACAACAAAAGGACATCTTATGTCCATTACTCGACATGGAATTAATCGAGAAGATCTTAGTCCAATAATGAAATCTTCATTTGAAGAAACAGTCGATGTTTTAATAGAAGCAGCAGCTCATTCCGAATACGATCCACTAAAAGGTGTTTCAGAAAGTATTCTACTTGGTCAATTAGCTAAAATTGGTACAGGTGCTTTTGACATTATGTTGAATGTTGAAAAATGTGCATCAGCTATGGAAGTACCAACAACGAACATTGATAGTTTTCATGAACTTATGCTTCCAGATGCTATGAAAAAATATAACCAACAACATGTAACTGCATTAACACCTTGGATTGAATCGATGCCGATCAGTCCATCATACGAATCTTATCATGCATCAGGAGCGACTCCAATACCATCATTTGACTCTACAAACTCGTTATCTGACTATTCAATGTCTCCATTAGGTTATATATCACCATCATCACCTACTAATCTTACTTCGTCTAGTATTCAATCGCGAATATATTTATCTGGCTCACAATATAATAGCTCAAGTGTAGGCCACTATGGATCGGAACCAATTCCTTATAGGTATTTATCTTTATTTTATTTGTTTTTTCTTTCTCATCATTTTAATTGATTATTGAATAGTCCAATAAGTCTATCGTACAATCCAGTAACTAGTCCTAAATTTTTGGATACTTCTACGAAACAAGGACTAACATCGCCCTTCTATTTACCAACTAGTCCTTACAGTAAGTTTCTTTTTCACATTAAAAGTCTTTTGAAAATATTGTGCTCATTAGGTCAAACTTATCCAACATTTTCATCGGATCGACTTTATACGTCAACTTCATCAACATCTCCAGTAAAAAGTTCATTCTCGAACCATTTAAATAATCAAATTTCACCAAAATACACTGCGAAAAAGTTAGCTTGCTTTTTTTTACACTTATCATTGTTTTATAAGATTATTGTGTTTAGTCTGAGTTATTCTCCAACATCACCAACGATACCACGTAACACACATATTCTCTCTGTTATTGTATTCAATATAACTCTTATTCTATATTTAGGTTACTCTTGGTCATCACCGAACTATTCCTCTCAAAGTCCAGCATATTCTCTATTGAGTCCTTCATACAGTAAATTTCTATTAATTATTGTATTTCATGAAATCTTGTTTTTCTTTGAAGATCCTACATCACCAGTATATTCAAGTGGAGTATCATCACAGAAATATTCTCCTCAAAGTCCAATATATTCTCCATCAAAATCCACTTACAGTAAATATCCTATTCATTTATATTGATTGTTGTATTTCATGAAATCTTGTTTTCTGTTGAAGGTTCAACATCACCGCCATGCTCAGTACGTGATCATGATAGAAGCAATGTATCATCGAATTTTATTCCAACGACACCACAATACAGGTGCTTAGATAGTTTTTTTAGAAACTTAAAAAATAACTTTCGCTGATGTTTTTAGTCCAAGCTCACCAGTGTATTCTCCATCTCAATTATCATCTCCCTCTAGGTTGGTTTTTATATGTTTGTATGTTGAACAATAACTAAAACTTGTTTTCTTTTAGTCCAACATCACCCGTAGATCAACTGAATGTGACATTACCTGATGATAGGTACTTTTTTAAAGACTTTTATTTGATTTAAATTGATGTTCAATCTTTTTTTTAGTTCTTCATCATGTCAATCAGAAGATAGTTCTCAACAAAGTGATTCAAACGATGATGACAATTGGATGGAGTAGATGTTTTATTTTCTGCTTTTGTACATATTTTATAGTTTGTTTTTAATATTAGAAAAAGAAATGTTGCTAATTGAGAAAGATACTCAATAAATGTTGTTTTTGAATAAAAGTGAGACAATCAAATTTCGTATTACTTTAAAGAGAACAAATTAGTCTTTACTTGATTTTTATTCAATCATCAAACTGAATGAATCTTCGTCCGTTTGAGTTAATCATGAGAGCTTGATTAATATTGTCTCGAAGTTCATTGCTATATCGACCTATTCAGTAATAAATACTTGAGTAATACACAAATAAGATGGTAGAATACTTCTAATCATCAACTACCCATATTCACTGTGCTGGAACCCGCATTCACATGGGAGATGCCGAATCTTCCTACACTATGTGAACATAGATATCGACTAATAAACAATTTCATCGATTGAATCACTAGGAGGAATCTAATGATAAATATGCATTGGAATGAAAAAAAAAATAATGTTTGTAATCCCAAGAGTTAATCAATAAAGAGAACTTATATACACGTCTTTGTTGTTGCTAGCTTCATTCAACAATAAGTTTTGTGACTGTTTAGGGAACGGAATGTTGTATCAAGTAAAAAAAAGAACATTATTATGAAATAAATGCTAATCAAATGTTATTTTATAATATTATTTCATAGATTTAAACTGAAAGTGATGACAAGCTTTTTCATGGTAGCTAAGCTGAGTTAACATTTTACTGTTCGGTGCAGTTGTGATTTCATCGGTTCGAAGTGCAATGAATTGGAATGTCGAGAAAGTCTTTTTCTAGTTTTCTCAATGACCTCTGTCGAAGATTTTTGTTGAATAACTAAATCAAAATTATTTGATTTGCTTAACAACCATATTTAGAATTCTATTCATTTCGAATGCATATCTTTCAATTAATGAAGTAGCATATGACTTATACCAGCAAGTGTTTAAATGATCTGTCAAGAAGAATAAAACATTCTAGTGATGTGACTGCAGCATAAGTAAGAAATAATCAAGTCCAACTACGTAATTAACCAAAAAAAATAATTTGCATAGAAAAAGTCATTATTTGTCTTGAAAAATAAAAAATAAATTAAATTCTATTTAGATTTTTAGAAAATAGTTAACATGAACAATGATAAGAATATATTTTTTTTTTGCATAAGAAATAATTAACACCGATACTGCAAATGAATTTATTTTACAAAGACAAAAAACATTTTTCAGTTTTCTTAAAGGTTTATTTCAAAAAATAAATAAAACCTAGAGATACCTTATGGAATTCGTAAGAAAAGCAAAAACATCTTTGTAAACTTTGAATACATCTATACAATCAACAGTCATCATTTCATTTGTATTTTAAATGACATTTTTATATTCAACTAGTCGTATAATCGAAAGCCCGAACAACAACTCAAAAACTATCATTCTATTAACCATTAAAAACTCATGCATTTTTGTTTGTCTGTACTTTTCATATATCATTAAGTTTCCATTAAGAAACAACTATTGAGTGAATGTGGGGAACGGTGTGAAGAAACCTAGAGAAGACTGACACGCATAAGCGTCCACCCACTAGCCTACACCAACTTCATCTACTCAGAGTAATTCTGACTTATGCAGAAGATAATGTAAAGCCATATCTTTCATATATGTTTTTTTTATCGCATAACGCCTGTTCACCATGGTACGGTGGCTCACAACGTAAAACTTTGATTAAAATGCATTTTTGTATATACTATTCGAAATATCATGACCTGCTTTACAAATGGCATATGAACCTTTTTAAGCTGAAGCTTGATCAATAAATGAAACATTCTTCGTCTCAAAAATACTTATTGATTTAACAGATATTGCAAAATTTTTTAGACATATCTTCTTGCATTCTTCATTTGGCAAGACTGAGTTTCAAAAAAATAAAAGAATATCTTTTCAGCATTACACGATTGAAAGTTCTCTCTAACTATTTGTTCAATTTTTTTGATTCCGTACTGCCTTTTAGTGAACAGTGTATGCATGAACGACATTAATATGTGATCTGTAAAGAAAAATAATTCGGAGACAATTGATTCACCGTTCACCTCTGTGCAATAAATATTATGGCATTGTTTTAGATAGTGTTTGAAAGATGCTATCATATTTTCTATTCAGCTTATAAAGAATCAAACGATGAATTTAGTGACAAAGGATTAACAATATGCAACGAAATGAACAAGAGAAAATCGAAAAAAATTAAAAGAATGTCTTCTTTTGCAGTAGCCATTTTGAGCTATTATCAAGTACTAAATTTTAATGTCATTCAAAAATGTATTTGTTACTCAAAGGCAACACATAGATCTAAATCTCTGTCAATATAAATTCAGAATTGGTATTTTTTATATTTCTGAAGTCTTTCTTTGCAGATAAAAAATGGAAGAACACTTGTCCAAGAATTTTGGCGAAACTCGTTAGCTTGTAAGACATGGGTTATCTTCTATGCATTTAATTAATTACACTCGAAAGACTTTGAACACTACGGTCACGCCAATACTTTTTTTGCATTTTTTTTTCTGATCATTCAGCAGTCAATTTTTCCAATGCAGTTCTTGAAACAGTTACCTTCTTTTACTTGATGCTGTGGGGTAATTGTGTTGAATGAAGCATACTTCAAAGCTTTTTTTCTCTTTCTTATTTGCATGATGTCCATAAGTAAATAATGTGTCCCACAAATAAATTACAATGGTTGCATGTAAAAAAAATATCTCTACTATTCTCCGTCGCACCGAAACAGTTTTCATCGAAATATGGCGCTTGTAATTCACCACAAAACCATACATGATTGGATTCAAAAATTGTTTTAACTCTTTTGTGAACACGAATCAATAGTTAAGACATGTAAAGAGCTGTCAAAAATAAACATTAAGATAGGGAAATGCCATTAAAAATTCATTCCGATTGATCGTCGTGGTTACTTTAGGAATTGTTTAATTAGGATGTGGATCATCTGCTGTGACCGTGCGTAGATATGGGTACAGGCCGTCTCTTACATCACACTAGCATCTAGCTATTCATACATGCATCTACACCTATCCGACACTCATACTAACGTTTACCTTTTCATCACCCTAAAATAGAATCAATGTTGTTGATCATCATGAATGATCCAATATTAAATAATTAGTTCACATTTACAACATGTTAAACTTCTAAACTGATATATGTATTCATTCTGAAATCTGAACATGTTTTAAATGCGTAAACATGTACATTTTGTACGATTTTATTCTAGCTTATAGTGCGACGCATTTGTACGCATTGGTTTTTCTTGTTTGTCTGACCTAGATAAACTATCAAAACGAAATAGAATAATTGAATTGAATTTATAATTTTAAGAAATTATAAATCAAGTGAAAATAATTCATATCTAAAATAAATTAAATTATCAATGGCTGAAATTTATTTTAAAATTTAAATTACGAAAAATAATAATTTAAACTCGTTTTAAATGAACAAGAAAATGACAGCTCTACACACATCCATACACATCCATAGATATCGGGAATATCTCGGCATCATTCCAACTTTAAAAAAGTGGAAAGTTTAACAGGGATAGGGAATGGCATCATCGATGCTCTCTCTTTTATCATATATTCATTCATTCGAAAAACCCAGTTAACCTCAGTCTTGTATGAAATTAAATTATATGAAAAAGCAAGTAGTAAGACATATCCGATGGAATTTATAGTGTATTAAAATCAATTGCAAAAACAAATCCTTGTGATCGCATTCACTTTATTTAAATGAAATCACAATAGATAAAATTGAAGAAGTTATTAATAATTCATGTCAAGTTGTTCGAAATACTCATGAAATTGACCTTCAAACAAGTCTTGAGGTCGCTACGGTTCTTGCTGCAGGTACATGCCGAAGTTTAAACTTTTCGATAGTATACGATCGTACACAAAAAAAAATATGACGCATAACTATGGTCATAGATGATGATTGTATAAGATGATCATGCACGATTGCCGTAAACAACACTCGAATATGATCGTATTTTGGTCGTGTATTTTTCTCGCATACAGCAAGATAGCTTGTTTGTGTTATATATATCATATCTTGCTACAACCAATTTATTTGTGGGTGTGGATGATTGTACAGAGGAATTCATGTCTGAAATCAATCATAAATTCACATCCGAATCAGCACTCACACACACCAGTCATACCTACATCCACACCTATCTCTACAATCTACAAAAGAAGGCTTATTTTAATTGTGTACTTTTTATTTTTAAAAAAAGCAAAATTTTGCACAATCAATTTTTGCAGCGGCGAACATTAGTTGCACAGAATTTTCGTTCTGGTTGAAAACAATTACAATAAACTTTGTCCTGTAAATTATAGAGGATTTCATATTGCATCTTTTGGTACATTTTCTTTTCTTACTTAGACATTTTATATGACAAAAAAAAGATGGAGTGAGAAAAAAATTATGTTTTTGTTTTTCGCAAATGGAGAAAACTAGTCGTACAATATTTTGCTTTTTTTAAAAACAAAAAGTAAACAATTAAAATAAGCTCCACTTTGTAGATGGTAGATAATTTTCACTCTGCATCTTGTGGTATATGCTGTTTTTTTAATAGCATACATTTAGAGATTAAAATATGAAATGCAAAACGCTATCATTTATTATGGTTCATGAGTTATATAACAGTATCAATTTTACTTTTTGTGATTTTCTTCATTGACATCAATGAGATTGTTTTGCCATTTGATGGTTTTTGTAGCAGAGATGAAATCACATCTTTATCACTGTTCTGTCGCCGTCTAAACATTTGTGTACACTAATCATATGTATCTACTTACGTATGTTGTCTTAAAATAATCATAGAGAGAAATTGAATAAAAAAAAAGAAATTTGGCAGGCAGAGAGGACGATAGAACTGAGAAATATAAATCAAACAAATCTTTTCAATAGAAAATTGTTTTACTTTTCGTTTTTCTGCCCAGACACCTCGTTAAT